GGCCCACCCGGCGGGGTTCCGGATCCAACAAGGGCTACTTGTCTGTCTGACCCCCTATAACAGTTGATTGGTTCCTGCTCCCTATAACTGTTGCTCGCTCTTCGTTGACGGTTACCTCTGACGATGGACTCCAGCAAGAGCCCGAAAGCTCTGTTGAATAAAATTACGATTCCGGTGATCGCAACGACTCCTTTTTCTAGACAAATACCTGGAATGTGAACCTTTGCCTCTATTCGTGAGACTTTATATTCCTCGAACTGATTGAGTTCTATCGACCTTTTGTTACTTCTGATTGAAAAGTGAGCCCCTTCAATAAATATGTTTGGGGAAGGAACCTTCTGTGTGTCTCTTAAGCAGGTTGACACTTCAGGGTCTTCGATGTCTTGTGCTCCTGCGGCTACAGTAGACCCGACAGCGAGACTTTTAATGCGTCTCACGGTGCTTCCTATTGCTTTGCAAATTCTATCACGTAGGACAGTTGCTTTCAAGGAGTATGCCTCCTCTTTTCCGCTGCGCGTTCCTTATTTTGTAGTTTGAAACTATCTTCTTCCCTTATACTGAAGTGTATCATTTATAGACTACGTGTCTTAGTCTAGTGCTTACACTAACTGTGCATTTTGGGTCTTTCTTTAGGGACATCGAAATGTCCTCGCTACGCCAATGTCGAGCTGCTGGCCGATAAGTTGGCTTTCAATCTGCCGAATTTCAAAGTTTCAAAAATTGTCCTAGAGGCCGAGGAATGGACAGTTAGTTGTCTTTGTGTTTGAACTGTTTTGCCTTCTAGTCGTTTGCCAGTCAGCTTGCAGCAGAACATCAGTGGCCTGTGCTTCCGTCCCCCATAATCTGGAGAGAACTGGTTGATCGCGGGGGCATGAGCAGCCTGATTGGTGGCGCTAAGGACTTTCAGGAGTATGCGAAAACCTACTATGACCAGGAGTCCGATTTTACAACACAGCAGTTGACGGACTTTGTGCAAGACAATAAGCGTTACAAGAGACAGGACATCGAATTAGCACTGTCCTACAAGCCTTCTCGCCCATTGCCAAAAATTGTCACCATCATCGGTGCGGACTCTCACTGTGCTCATCGGCTTTTATCGCTTCTGACGTTGAGGAAAGAGGTGAAAGCAGAGAACAGGATCAGCCTCCGGCTTTATACTGACGACCAAAAGAATGCGGCTGATCTGGACGAGGTTAAGTTTCAGGTTGAAGATAGCGCTTGTCCAAGCATCCAATCTGTGAGTGTGGAGCATACTCTTATGTCAGCTGTCAAAGATGCCTCCTTGATTGTTTTGCTAGATATAGTTCCGCGACTGCACTTTCATAGGAGTTCATCTTACCAGACAGCAAACAGCTCTTTTGCTGTTCTGGAGCCAAGAGAGTCGTGGCTTTCGCGACGTTTTGTGTTCTTACATCGGCTAGGATTACATATTGCCCAACACTGTCCAGCCGATGTGAAGGTCCTCGTGGCCGGTTCTCTGCGGCTCTTTGAAAGGGCTGAACTCATTGCCGCACCAATCAACTTTGATGTGCAGGCCCTGTTCACTGCCTGTGGCGGAAAGTTGGCGACTAGGAATATTGTCGGCCTTGTCAGACCTCTGGAGTGGCGTTTGAAGGCAGCCATCGCAAAGAAGTTGGGCGTACGTTGTTGTGATCTTG